GATCCTAACTTAGTTCTCTTTTGATCAGGAATTTTATAATAAGCTAGGCACCTTCACACTTTAAAATATTCTAAATTCGGCTTTCGACCTTTCCATAACTCATATGGAGCAATTTTGAAATGTCACGACGGAATCCGATTATGAATATAACAAGCCGCCAATAAGGCTTCACCCCAAAGATTATGTGGGAGTGTTGCATTCAACAACATCGAATTGACCATATCCACTAAGGTACGGTTTTTTCTTTCCGCTAACCCATATTGTTGTGGGGTATATGGTGCGGTTCTTTGATGCACAATTCCATTAACTTCACAAAAAACATCAAATTGAGTAGAAAAATATTCTCATCCTCTATCACTACAGAGAGTCTTAATTTTCTTTTCAAGAATATTTTCTACTTCTGCTTTGAAACGTTTAAACATATCAAACGTTTCATCTTTGTTTCTCATAAGATACACATAAGTAAATCTAGAGAAATCATCTATAAAAGTGATAAAATAACGTTTACCACCTCTAGTAAGAACACTATTTAGTTCACAAATATCTGAATGTATCAACTCGAGAAGTTGAGTGCATCTTTCATTTTTCAGGAATGGTTTCTTAGTAATTTTTTATTGAATACATATTTCACACTTTTCATTTAGTTCATTATTATTAAGATTTATATAATTATTCTTATGCATATATCGAAGAGACTTTACATTCAAGTGAGCCAAACGGGCATGCTACAAAGAATAAGAATCAACGACATAAGCGGAAGAATTCACTTTATTCATTCCGATGCTTAACTTGAACATTCCATCGGTACAATAACCTTTTCCCACATACAAGTCTCCTTTCAACAAGACTAACTTGTCGGATTCAAGGATAACTTTGAAACCTTTCTCACATAAAAGACTTGCCGAAACTAAATTCTTTCTAACATCGGGAACATGAAGTACATTCAACAATGTTAATTTCTTTCCCGATGCGAAGTTGATCTCTACCGATCCTTGACCATGCACTTTAACCGCTTGGTTATTACCCATTAGCACTTCACGATTTACCACTTCTTCATAACTTTTGAATTGACCATGGTCATTACATACATGAATGGTAGCACCAGAGTCAAGCCACCATTCACATGATCCCTCGGTAATCGCCATGTTAAGTTCGGTTATCATACCGATCTTCATGGATCCAAAGGCGTTTGACACCATGGCCACTAAGTCCTTCTCCTCGACCACGTTGGCCTTCAAAGTGGTGTTACCTTTTTGTTGGTTCTCCTTTTTGAGAATTCGACAATCTTTGATGTAATGCCCTTTCTTATGGCAATGATAGCACGAACGCTTCATTTTCTTATTGTCTTGTTGTTCCTTAGATTGAAACGAAGACTTTCTTTTACCTTTCTGTGTAGTCTTAGATTCCACGTAGTTCACATTAGAACTTTGAGGGGAATTCACGACATCCCGTTTACGAGATTCTTCCTCGGTATGAAGACGCCATAGAATCTTTGCCACCGAGAAGTCTTCCGCCATATGCAAAAGCTTCTTTCGATAATCATTCCAAGTAGAGGGTAATTTTGAAATAATTGCCACTACTTGCAACGATTCAGGAATCACGACCTTAAGATCACGAAGTCTTTGCACGAGAACTTGTAACTCATGAATTTGATTCATTAGTGGTTGAGCATCAATGAATTTGAATTCAAAATACTTTAGCATGAGAAACTTATCGGTACCTAGTCGCTCGGTATTATATTTTTCTTCCAAGGCTTTCCAAATTTCCACCGGAGACTTGGTTGACATGCAGAGATCATATAAACGATCGGAAAGAATGTTGAGAATATGACCCCGACATGTGTATTCGTCATCCTCTCATTTCTTTTTCTCTTCACTCATCTTTGTAATTTCATCGGGTGTAGCATCCGCTTTGGGTTTCTCCACCGGTTTAGTTTCGGGATCCAAGACATATGCCACCTTAAGGACGGTGAGGAGGAAAAACAATTTTTCTTTCCAACGATTGAAGTTAGTCCAGTCGAAACGATCAAGTTTCACAAAGTCTTGATTCATGACTTTGTATGCACTCGTAGTTTCCGAAGCCATTAAAAAAAATAAATAAATATACTCTTTGATTGTTAGGGAAAAATGAGAAAATAGCTTTGGAACAAAAGAAAAGAAAGAACACTAACACACACGGATGAACATGAAGGTTGTGGAAAGTCTCGAGGCACGGGTTAGACGTTTTCCAAAGAGTATATTTATCCACACACAAAGTTGCTTCGGGTTATGGTAAAGTACCCTCGGGATACAACGAGACTTGTGTTCTTCCTCGAGAAAAAAACTCGAGAAAAACCCTTACTCTTACTCTTTTCTTCTTTTTTCTTCTTTGGAAGGATAGAAGATGATTTGATATTTCATATCAAATGATGGGTTTATATAGGCATATCATTTGAAGTTACTTCATTAAATCAAACAAGTTATATAGTAATTGAATAACATGTTATATAAACATGTAATTACTTTTTACATAAAGAAAAGAAGTTTCATTCAATTTAAAATTCTTGTTAATTAATTGTAGGTAACTTAATCCTATTGAATTTGCAATCTATTTTCAACAAGAATATCATAGAAGAAGAAATTGATAACACATGATGATCTCATATAGCAAATAGAATTAGAACACTAACACTTTGCTAATCGGTAGTATGATGGAACCCGTGGCTAGGTCAGTCTTCCTTGTCTCTTTCTTTTATTAGTCTCAACGATTATTAAAAAAATCCAAAATTTCACATGTGACTGAATTATATAATTTAACACACCCGAATCTCTTTAGGTATATTATAAAGTGACTGACTACAGTTTCTATCATCGAATTTGCATAGATGTTGGATACGTTTTTCAAATTGCTATGTATATAGAGATAGATAGGTAGATAAAAATGAATTTTTTTGATAAACCGATTAGAACTCTTTGTGATCTTATCAAGCATCCTCAATTATGATTCGAATACAAACTGGAACACCAAAAATAACAACGATAATCATCTTATTGTTATGCGTTGATTTTTACCCGAAGAATTCTCTGACTGAGAGAAAGTCTCTGATTGAGACAGAGACTTTGAGAGTACTGACTTATGACAACAATGACAGTTTTGGTTTTTCACGTGAAGCCATTGTATACGTTGAAGAGGTCGTCTTCCGCCTTCGGTATATACTCTCTCAGCTTCTGTATTTTTTCTAAACGTTGGAATCTCCAAATTATAGCAAGAAGCAATCATATATCCAATATTGTCTTGTATACACCACTACAAGAAACATCCAAATTTGCGACGGAGTTCATAAATAAAATCCATCGCAATTACAACTTTGCGATAGAAAGCGATAGAATAATTTTCGTCCGTATATCGTTTTCGCCAAAGTTTACCGGTCGTTACAAAATATGCGGTTTGCGAAAAAAAAAATCCGTCGCAAATACTTTTTTAATTTTTTTTAATAATTTAAAAAAATCAGCATTTTTCGACGGATTTACGACAGAAAAATCCGTCGTAAATATTTTTTTTTTTAATTTTAAAAAAATATATTATATATATACACATGTATTACACATATACGCATATATTACACATATACACATAATTTATATACATATATATATACACATACACATATATTCATATACACATACACATATATATTTACATACACACATATATATACACACATACACACAAACATAAACACATGTTCATACACATATATATACACATATAAATTTACATACACATATATATATATATATACATACACATACACACATACATATATAAACACACATTCATACACATATATATACACATATAAATTTACATAGTCATACATAAACATACATATATATACACATTCACATTCACATACATACACAACACACATACATAAACACAAACACATACGCACATACATAAACACATAGCACATTCACATACACATACACATATACATACACACATACACACTTACACATACACATACACATATTCACATTCACATGTATATACACAACACACATATACACATACATTCACATATATACATATATACATATCCATATACACGATATATATACACATATCTTGACGAATTTTGAAGAAAAACAATTTGTTGGAGAGTATCGGAGAAGATTGAGGTTTTTTTTCTTAAAATTTTGAAGTCCGGAGGAGAAAGACGAAGTCGAGGCTTTTATTAATTATTGTGATGGAAATAAATAAAATTAGTATATATTTTAAAATAAATAACATAAATTTAAAAATAAATAATATAAATTTAAAAATAAATAAAATTAATATATACGACATAAATTTCTGTCGCAATCAGTCACAAATTCCGACAGGTATTAAAATTTCTGTCGCAAATAATGTTTTTGTTGCGATGACAACGTTTACATCGTATTCCGTCGCAAATTTGCGACAGATTTTGCGACGGAATAAAAATTTTCGGATTTCATCGCAAAACCGTCGAATTCTGTCGTAATTTTTTTGCGACGGAATTCCGTATCTAATGAAAGTTTTCTTGTAGTGCACGTCGCCGTTTTATGTGATTCATATGTTTCCTTTATTTAAATAAAAAAAACATCCATTATGTTCAGACTTGTCATATTTGTTTGACTCCATGCATATCATGCACGTCCAACCATCCATACATGTCAAAGGCTATAACTGTCCAATAATCCACCGTAACTTCATCACTGAAAAAATATTAAAAATTCGTAATGCTTCACGTTCTATTTTATATATTTCTTATCAGATTCTCGAAAACATTCGTTCATTTGGTGCGAACCACTATATATACTAGTTCTTAGAAATGTCCGGGGTACATTTCAGTATGTCTTTTTCCATTCTTCATATTCTTTTCTCGATTTTTCAGTATATAAACTATATACATATATATATAGATATATATATTCGATATTTGATTTCAATCCATAATACGATTGAAATTATTTCTCAATAGTACATTCACATGGTTTAAAGGAAACCAATGCTTTATTTAGTTGGCATGTTCAGGTTCAGTACCAAGGAACATGCCTGCCCTAAGTGCATATTATAAACCACACCAACTTTAGAATATATATATATATATATTCAAGACCGTGCAAACCGGTTTTCGGTTAAGACCACTGAGTGAGGACCGGTACAAGCTGAAGCGGTACTTTCTTGGAGATGACGATACCAAATGATTCTTCAAGATCAACGTCTTCCATCTTCATTCCATCGGGAAGCTTCCAATCGAACCGGTAAAGAAGATTCATAAGAGATAATTGTACCAAAGCCATACCCAATCCTAAACCGGGACACATCCTCCTCCCACCACCGAATGGTATCAGCTCGAAGTTCTGACCTTTGTAGTCTACATTGTTATCCATAAACCTCTCGGGGATAAAATTATCTGGATCTTTCCATACATCGGGATCATGATGGACGGCCCGTGCATTGATCTGGATTCGTGTTTTCTTCGGGATTTCATAGCCGTTGATCTTCATATCTCTCATTGCTTCTCTTGCGATCAAAAGCGGTACAACAGGACTCATTCGAAGTGTTTCTTTTATTACCGATTTCAGATAGTCGAGATGTTCCATGTCTTCTTCGGTGATGTTGTCTTTGTCCGTGACACGTTCTCTGATTTCGGCTTGCACTTTCTCCATAACTCTAGGGTTTCTGATCAAATGTGTCATCGCCCATGTCACGGTTTGGGCAGAAGTATCTATCCCGGCCAGGAGTATGTTCTGGAAATCGAAACCAAAACACTAATTAATGCTTCATATGATAATTCTGATAAATAATTATTTCCTAGGTACTTATGTATCCATGCATCGATTTGACATTGCATATATATCACTTTTACTTCTTTATGAAGTGGTAGACATCATCAATGAAAACAAAAAGAGAAGAAACTTTGTTCTTTACCACAAGGATGGCTTTGATGTGGTCTCGAGTAAGCGTGAACTCCCCGAATCCGACTTGTTCCCTCTCCATCTTGAGAAGCAAATCGATGATATCTTCTTGTCCATCTTTGTTCTCACGTCCTAGATGAAGGTTGATCGCTTCTTCGTAAAAGTCATCGAGTTCGCGAAAAACTTTCTCGCATTTGGCGTGTAATCCCGTGAATCTATCGATGATCCAACCGAAATACGGGAAGAAGTCCGCTGCCGGAAAACTCCCAACCACCTCCATGGCTCGGAAAACCACTTCCTCGTACTTGTCCTCGAGATTGCTCCCTCTAAGATTCATACCGAAACCAACCCTACATATCACACTTCCCGACAATCTCATCAACTCCCGGTTAAAATTAACCGGAGTTTTGGATAGACCCGATTGGTTGAGGAAGCCGACGAATGAAGCGACTTCTTCTTGCCTTATGTGTCGAAACGATTGGACCCTTTTCGAGCTGTAGAGTTCGACAACGCTCATCTTTCGTAGATCTCTCCAGTAATCGTTGTAAGGCGAAAAAACGAGATCTTTGTTGTCGTAAGTGAATCTCGAGGAGTAAGTCAACACGGGACGAGAGCAACAATCCAGGTCGTGCGTTTTGAGAAGCTCTTTCACGGTCTCTCGGGATGATGCCACGACCATCGGCGCGCTTCCTAACTTTAGGTACATGATCGGACCGTACTTCTTCGACAACGTGGACAGGGAAAGGTGAGGCTGTGGTCCAAGCTGATGCAGATTTCCTATTATGGGAAGACCTCTTGGTCCGGGAGGGAAGTTTCTTCTGCGTTTTCTCACCTTCTTCTCGACCAGAATCAAGCTGAAGACCATGCATAGAATGACGATCCACCAACTCATCTTTTTTGTGACCTAGTTTAAGAAGGTTCATTATTATTATTATTATTATTATTATTATTATTATTATTATTATTATTATTATTATTATTATTACTACGACGACTAGGGATGTCAATTGAGTTGGTCCAACCCATTTGGGTCAAATCCATTTGGATTTGAAGGATAAACGGGTTGGGTTGGGTCGATCCGTTAATAATAGTGGATGAGTTGGGTCGACCCATTAAACCTGTATAAACCATATAAATCCATTTTTATATTCACAAATTACTTATATACATATAACTATTAATATGTATATTCATATAACCTAGAAATTATCATTTTCATATTCGATTTGGTTTATCCATTCAATAAAAATATATATATAACTGGATATTATATTATATTTATGGAGTGGGGTATTGGGTTGACATGTTTTTATTGTTCCGGCGATTGCCGAGGAGAGCGTCCTTACCCACGTGTGTGATGCACACGTGGAGATGATTTGACGGTACGGTTATTACTGAGAGACCCGATGGGTCGAGCTATGACTTGTGTACATATGTCCTGGACTGGTGAGACCAGATCCTTGCGGTATCCTATGTGTGCGATGCACATAGAGATGATTTGACGGTTATATCCGATGATACATCATGCGGACTGAGTGTGTGTGATAAGTGAATTACTTGTGCGATTGAGTGAATTGTGTTTCCTGGCATGAAGTGTGTATATATGTATACACTTATATCTAGTGTATGTATAATATTGATTGTGTTTGGCCATTTGCCATTTGAGTATGATCTTCGGGTTTAACCCGAAGTACTCACTAAGCATGTAGCTTAGGACGTTGTTATGCAACGTTTCAGCTCGAGATAGCGCAAAGAGGAGCGTTGGATGGACATAGTAGCGCCAGGAGTGTGAGGAGGAAGACCGAGAAGATTTAGGTTGGAGTTACGCAGATTCCTGTTTCAAAAAGATTGGTAGTGTCGATTTATGAGTTTTGTATTTTCCGATAGTTACACTACCGTAATTGCATTTGTCTCCGCTGCATATGTATATAAATTGAGAATTTTTAAATCCCGCGTATTTTCGGTAATTGTATTTATTTTATTTTTGTCCATGTGGCACAACTCGTGGTTTTCGCGGGACACGGGTTTCGGGTGTCACAGTTCGGCTTTCCGCAGTTGTAGCAATTTCCTTTCAATTTCTTGGCTTTGGAAGTCTTCTTTACAACTCGTGGTTTTCGCGGGACACGGGTTTCGGGTGTCACAGTTCGGCTTTCCGCAGTTGTAGCAATTTCCTTTCAATTTCTTGGCTTTGGAAGTCTTCTTTTTGTTTTTGAAATTCTTCCTCTTCTTTCCCGTACTGGGTTCTGCAAGGTTAACTTTGCCTTCAATTGCCTTTTTGTCGCTTTTGACTTCAGCTCGGCGATTGTCTTCCTCTATCCGAAGTCTCACGATCAAGTCTTCAAGCCCCATCTCTTTGCGTTTATGCTTGAGATAGTTCTTGAAATCTTTCCACAACGGTGGCAACTTCTCAATGATAGCAGCCACTTGGAAAGATTCACTCAACTTCGTTCCTTCAGAAATGATTTCGTGAAGAATGAGTTGTATTTCTTGCACTTGGTTGATCACCGACTTGGCATCAACCATTTTGAAGTCGAGAAACTTTCCGACAACAAACTTCTTTGTGCCAGCATCCTCCGTTTTTTATTTCTTCTCTAAGGATTCCCAGAGTTCCTTAGCCCTCTTGAATGGACTGTATATATTATACAGCGCATCATCCAATCCATTTAACACATAGTTTCTGCATAGAAAATCTCCATGAATCCATGCATCATATGCATTCTTTCTTTATGTGTTGGTTTCTTCATCTGAAACCACAGGTGGTTCCTCAGTGAGGAAACGAGCCAGATTAAGAGTGGTCAGATAAAAAACATCTTTTGTTGCCACCTCTTAAAGTCCACACCATTGAACTTCGCTGGCTTTTCCCCTTGTGCAGGAACAGATCCTACCGGGGTTGTTCCTTGGGCAGAAATAGATCCTACCGGAACGCTCAATTGTGCAGGTACAATTCCTTGTCCAGGAATAGACCCTAGTGGAGCACTTAAAGCACTATCCATGTCTTATAGACACAAATTTCGTCTTGAGATTGTTGAATCCGACGATGTGGGATTCAGAAGTTCAAACAGAATTTCCAAAAGAAAGAAAATTTTGAAGTGTGTTAAGTTGAGGCTTGTGTTATACACAATCTCCTCAAGACGAAATTGCCCCGTTATCAAATGGTTACGGTTTATGGCAATCGTCTCCAAGATACAACGACTTACGATTCTACAAAAGCACCACCTGCTTTATAGAATCCAACGAACTACGAAAGTTCGGAACTATAGAGAAAAAGGTTTTGGATTATTTTTTCTGAAAGGAAAAAGACACTCAGAAAATAATGGGATGCAGAAAATGATCCTATGGGTGCCCTATTTATAATATTCGGGGGTTGCTACGAAAACATGTGAAGGAAGAGGCTGTTATATCCAAATCATTCCAAAAGGAAACGTTTTGTCAAGAACGCATTGGTTCGAAGCCCAACCGTTCCACATCGACGTGCAACTTTAAATTTTAAATCCCACATCAAAACGTTTTTATCTGGATCGAAAAGTCCCGAGTAAATCATTCCAAAAGGAAACGTTTTGTCAAGAACGCATTGGTTCGAAGCCCAACCGTTCCACATCGACGTGCAACTTTAAATTTTAAATCCCACATCAAAACGTTTTTATCTGGATCGAAAAGTCCCGAGTGGAACTTTCAATTCAAATTTTAAACGTTCCGCTCAGGGAACATTGCTCGTTTTCTCCCAAAGAGGAAGAAGTGGGACCAATCATTTATAGCTTTAGTCAACCTTGAGCTTGAACATTGTTGACTCAAGGGGAGCTCTTTTTATAAGGAAGATCCTTCCTTCCTCTTGGCCAAAACTTTAGATGTGGGACAAACACACATATAAGGAAGCTTCCTTCCTTGTGCTTTGTCATTTTTCCAATGTGGGACAAATGTTCTTTTTCCACATTTTTACATTTATTTTGTATAAATTAATTTCTCATTCACCACAAATTGGTTTTAAGAAATTAATAACATTTGCCCAAAATTTCTAACAACTGCAGGTACAAGCAATAGAAGCGAAAGAAAAGACAAAAATCCCGAAAAAGAACGAGATTCAATGCTGCACACGATCGTGTCACCTACCTTCACACGATCGTGTCTCGTCACCACGAAAACTACCATCGAATCAAGAGTCCACCCGATCGCGTCTCTGCTGCAACACACGATCGGGTCATTTCACCAAGACAAGAGTAATATCGAATGTTCACCCGATCGTGTCTCCTGCACCCACACGATCGATCAAGTCGCGAAAACCTGACTCTAGATTTATAATCCCACACGATCGTGTGATTAGGACGTGTCTCTCCTACTCACACGATCGTGTCACTTACGGGATTTTCGGGAATATTTCCAATCTGGCCAGAAAAGAAAGACTTAACTAGGCCAAACCTCCAAGGAGAGATTCATTCAGATTTTGACCAGAGAAGAGACCTAGAGCATACCAGAAAAGGTGGAGATTATCAGAAAGCAAGAGATTGGAGTAGAAGACGGAGATCACGAAGCCGAGAAATCGACTAATTAAGAGTTTCTTCCTTATTCTATTTTACGATGTTTTGTTGTATGGATATGAATCCTGTCACCTCGATGTTTAGCGAGTAGTCCCATAGTTGTAGGTTAGGGATTTGCTATATAGGGATCTTTGGTTTTTAATTCCAAACTTTTGGATTTGTTATTCCATTCAGTTTATTGAATTGATCTTAATGCATTTGATCTTGTTGGCCACCTGGTTGAATGAACTTAGGGTTTTAATTCACATAGACATATGAGATTATAACCTGGAAATAATTCAATAAATAGAACAGGTATCACATCGGGAGATGGGTATTTGCCTAGGAATCATGATAGTGTTTGTTAATGCATCCAGAGTTTTAGACTATCGAATCGGGAGATTGGTAGGATTAAACTTGGATAGTGAGATTATACTTGGAAGAGTTGATCTCTATCTTAGAGTTTGAATTCGCTGAATTGGATAGATAAACCATTAAGTTTGCATCTTTTGAAAGATCCTTGCATGTAAAGCAATCCCGAAGCCTGCAGTGTTCATCATTCATAGTTTACAGTCGTTTTATCGTTTGTTTTGCTACATTCTCATTCCTACATTATTTTTTTGGATTTAGATTTAGATTTGGATTGTTGTCCACTTTTGTCCCTGTGTTTCCGAATCCTAAATTGTGATTGCAACACATCGCTTCATTCCTACATAGTTGAATTTAAGATAAATCATAAAACATGCGGAAAAAATGGCTTCCGTCGAATGAAACCCTAATATAGGGTTCACGTAATTTAAAAAAAAAAAAATCGGCCTCAAGGGTCTTCATCCCTTTTTTTTTTTTTTCCTTTATGTGAATTTAGGATTTCAAATTGAAACGTACAAAAAAAACAAAGATCTCCAGTTGTAAAAAAAAATCATGTTTAACGCGTTTTCTATCTGTATAACAGCTCTATATGATAAGAATTTCGTTTTTATTTTAATGATTTTGTCATTGGCTCTTGGTCTTTATCATCCGTGACAACGTTACTAACTGTATTAAAATCTTAGAAATTTACTTATAATTTAAGTAGATTCTTAATTCGGATGGGATCCGATAAACATCGGATTTCATTTTTATTTATTTTTACCGTGACCAATTTATAGATTGAAGATATTTATTAGAGATTTAATTTTATTTATAAATGCTTCTTTTTTTAGAATTGAGTTTACAGTTTGAAACTGAATTATGTATTATATATATCAAATTCTGAAATTTTCAAGAAAATCATATTTTTATTCAATAAATATCTCTAATTAAATTGTATATTATATATATCACATTTCCATATATATATAAAATAAAAAACACGTGAATATTTTAGAAAAAAAAACGATTG